ACGATCGTGTCCGACTCGACGTGTTCGACTCGCCTATCGTGTTCGACACGACTATCGTGTTCGACTCGACGAACGCAATCGACGATCGTGTTCGAATCGACTATCGTATCCGACTCGACGATCGTGTTCGACTCGACGATCGTTGTTCGACTCGACTATCGTGTTCAACTATTCGATAGTGTTCGACTCCTCGATAGTGTTTGACTTGACGATCAGTCACTGTCGTGTTCGACTCGACGATTGGGCAGTGTCGTGTTCGACTTGACGATCGGGCAGTGTCGTGTTCGACTCGACTACCGTGTTCGACTCGACGATCGGGCAGTATCGTGTTCAACTCAACGATCGTGTTCGAGTCGACGATCGGGCACGATCGTGTTCGACTCGACGATCGTGTTTGACTCGACGATCGTGTTCGACTCGAAGATCGTGTTCGACTCGACGACTGTGTTCGACTCGACGAGCGTGTTCGACTCGACAATCAGACATCGGGCACGATCGTGTTCGACTCGATTGTCGGGCACTGTCGTGTTCGACTCGACGATCGGGCACGATCGTGTTCGACACGACGATCGGACACGATCGTGTTGGACTCGACGATCGGGCGCGATCGTGTTCGACTCGACGATCAGGCACGATCGTGTTCGACTCAACGACCGGAAGTGCCACATGGCGTTACGTGGTTGCAGCTGGGCTGCGTGGTTGTTTCCTCATTGTCCGATCCTTCAAACTCGGGGTGCTCCGCTGTGGTTGTGCGTCTCGATCTTGGGCCGTATGCTCGCTCCGTCGTAGCGCTGAACACGCCTCTCGACAGCGCTGTGGTCCGTCGTCGCGTCGAGCAGGTGGTCTGCTATGCACGGACCGAATCCCTGCGCTGCGTTGCCGCGTTGTACACGAGCCTCCAATGCGCTGTGCTGTGGCACAAGCCTCCGCTGCGCTGCGCTACCGCTGGGTTGCCAAACTGAAACGAAAATGGGAACTGGTGGCCCTCCCTCGTATATATAGTTTTTCGGGAGGACCCTTCGCGGGCACCTGCTGGCCGTCCGATCCGGGGATACTGACGGTCGGGATGTTCCAATAGGGAGTGGTGGGCCTGCCTCATATATGTGGTTTTCCGGGTGGGCCCTCCGCGCGCGCCTGCTGGCCATCCGATCCGGGAATACGGACGGTCGGGACGATCCAATGACTGTAGTCGGCCGTGATCGTTTTCACCCCTTGGCCAGAGCGACCACAAGTGTTCAAGTCAACGACATTGTGCCCCCCCAGTTCCCGCTACAATGGTCAATTAGGCATTTGGACCCGATTGCTCCTCACCTCTTCTTAATCATAATGGAGGTCTTATCAGCTAATCTGCGAAGCCACGAGGACATTAGGAGGATTGGGATAGCAGGGATCCCCAATGGGGTGATCCCAGTATGCTCCCTCTTCACGGCTGACCTAATGATCATAATGGAGGCATGCACACAGAACCTGGAGGCATTGCAAGCCTTGATGGAACGGTTTTATCGGCTATAGGATATGACAATTAATTGGGGACAAAAAACGGTGGGCTGGTGGCTGCACCACCAGGGTGGGAGAGCTTTGGAGAGACCACATATTACATGGTTACCCCCGGAGGCTCCATTGAGAGTCCTTGGAGCATCTCTATCAGCCAAGGGTAAACCAACTACCAACGACGGTGGTGGCGAACCTGGCTAGAGCCAAGTTGGCGGCTTGGAACGGGCGGCACACCTCGATTGTCGGTAAAACCCTGGTTATTAACAATGTGGTTTTAGCGTTCTTATGGTATAAGTTAGTGCTATGGTCGTTAAGCGAGATGAGACTTAAAGCCTTGAAGAGGCAAATAACGATCTTTCTATGGAGAGGGGATAGTGAATCCCCTTATGTGATCAATCGGTTGGTATGGGAATCGATAATTCAACCCAAGGCTAAGGGAGGGTTGGGTATTATAGACCTGGCCCACAGTTTCAAGCCCTAACCCTACGGTGTATCTTGCTAATAATCTTTAACCAAAACTCCCCATGGCGCTCGCTAGCATTGGCACAGATCGTGGCCCTTGCCCCCCTGCCCCCCCCGGAGGTAAATCCTTTGGTTTGGTTTGAGGACAGGTACTGAAGGATACCTCGAGTATACAGGGGCGGAGATGCGGTAGATGCCTTTTGGGTCCACCTCC